TTCCAATTGATGAATGTTATAAACTTCTTAATACTATTCACTCAATGTCACAATCTTGACTTTAAGACTTGTTTTGGAACGAAGTATGATTGACTTCTTGATTTGACCATTTCTTCAATCTTTGATTCCTCTTCTTGGACATACAATTGTACCAAGACTCACTTAGAGGATCAATTGAGATATGGTTCTTAATCATTAAGACCTATCATAAAGCATAAAAGCTACTCTCCCTTCTTCTTAGAATGGAGAAACTCTTATTTCTGCCTACTTGATTCTTCTTATTCGTTTTGCTATTGATCTAAACCCTTTAATCAATTCAAAATTACACTTAATCTTGTAAGTGTAATCATATTACTAAGCCTTTAGTAAATCATGACGAATATTTGTTACTCTTATGGTGAACTTGATCAACACACAACTTTGTGTACTCGATCTCCTAGTCCTTCACTTGACACTTTGTCAATGAATTAGTCTAATTTCCAAATACGAAATTTCTCATTCATCGTGCAACCAAGTTGCATGATTCCAAGTTTCTGTCCAATTGAAACTTGGGCGATGAGAAACTCTCCCTATTTGGTAAATTCTTGACATTTCCATAAATAACATAACTAAGAATCATATCCATTCGTTGTAGAAATATGCAAACATCAATTTTCATAACGATTTCATTGCAAAAACAAATAAATAAGTAGTCAAAATTTATTTTATTTATAAAAGCAGCGGAAAAACATTTGTCCTTACAATGCAAAATCTATTGAAAACTATGTAAAAGAAAATTTAACAACTCTATCATAACTATCTAAGCTCAAAATCCAATCTTCAAGTCCATGCGATCAAGATCCATCTCTTGTGATTAGATTCATCTTGCTCTCTTATCAAGCTTCCTTTCTTTTCACCGATCCTACAAAACATTCAAATGTAATCTTATCACATCATGTATTAAGAATCAATGAATAGGAACTTAATGGAGTTAGATAGTGGATTCTTACCTAAAGCGTAGTCATACTTTTGACTCTCCCATCTCTTAGATCTCTTAGGTAAATAGGGCAACTTCGTCTCCAATGCCCCTTCTCTTGGCAATAAAAGCAAATTGACTCCTTTGGAACAACACATGGAACTACTTCAGACATCGCCTTTCTCTTATGATCAAACTTTTCGATCATTGCATGTCTTTCATTGCCATTGTCTATATCCATAGAGGTCTTGAAGGCAGATTCACCAATCAACTTTGCTTTTCTATTGCGCCAAACCATTGTTGATTCAGCAGCAATAAGCATGTAGGTGAGATCTATAAGTGTCACGTCGTGGTTCATCATATAGTACTCTCTTACGAACTCACTATACGAGTTAGGAAGTGACTGAAGAACCCAATCAACAGCCATCGCTTCACCGACAACGGATCCCATCATTCTTAATCTATCAATGTGTGACTTCATCCCTAAGACGTGTGCACACACCGACTTGCCCTCTTTATGTTTACTTGCCAAAAGGGCTTGAGTGATATTGAACCTTTCAATTTTACAATCTTGTGGGTTAGGGAGAATAATTGGAGGAGGAGGAGGAAGTGAAGCATGATTTCTTGTTCCTCGATCGAATCGTGGAATATCATCTTCATGTGGAATGCTTGTTCCACGGGATTTGAGAAGACCATAGTTGTCGAACTTTGACATCGGGAGAAAAACGAATTCAAGTTAGTTGATTGATTGAGTCCTTGGTAAATCACCCAAATGAAATTCCAAGGCTAGGACCCAACACAATATCCTACAACTCGGGAGAGGGATGCCGTAACCCAAATTGCAGAACATTTGAAGGTAAGTGAATGACGATTCACTAGTTTCCACCATGAAAAACGAAAAAGAAATTTAAGTTTTAAATCTATGAAAACTCCTAGATCCTTTGAGATTCATTGAACATTTCAATGGCATGTTTAAATCTCGATATGCCCCTCTAGTTTGTGACTGGGATGCCGAGGATCACAAAGCGGGTGTGAATAACCATGCAAACTACATGGTGCCCTCACATGTTACAATCACCTATTCGATGTGCCGGTAAACCACACACGCTCCACCGAACTATGACAAACATTGAGTCACCCTTTGCTACCTTTGCTTAGAACCATTTAGTGTGCCGGTAAACCACACACGCTCCACTAACGTCTTCGCAAGGGCACAAAGTGTAATTTCATGGAATTGCATCAATTCACTTTTGCCTAAGTAACTAAGATTGGGAATTTGAAAAACATTTAGTTACTTTGTATTTCATTATACTTATAATGGAAGGTTTCGTCCTATCCTACCCGTTCGGCTAACGACCTTCCACTAGTCAAGAGTGCGGTGGGTAAGAGTGGATACCCATTCAATCGCCATTTTATAGGCAATTTCCTTAAACACCCCTTATAGACCAGCTTCGTGAATGAGGCCTACTAACGGTAAGACTGACTTTTACTCATATATATAATGTTAGACTTTTAATGTTATATATAGGGTGTATTTTATACTTTTAAAATACTATATGGTTAACTTTAACAATTACACTTTTAATTCAATTAAAAGGTTAACCTAAACCTTTATGGATTTATTAAATCTCTTTTAATTATACTCCTTAATTAATTAATAAAACCATAAGGGTGTGATTTGAACTTTTCAAAACATTACTAGGGTTTTAGAATTTAACATTCTTTAATTAAACTTTTAATCAACTTTTAAATTCCAAAACTTGATGGCAAGTTTTGAAACCTTTTTCAAAACATTAGGGTTTTAACTATTTAAATTTCGAAACTCCAAAACTTTTGGGTTCAAATTTAAAATATAAAACCTAAATGGGAAAATATGAAACTTTTCATAACAACAAGGATCAAATAACAAATAATTTTAAATTAACATTTAATCACATAATTATCCATATTTGATTTATTTAATGATTTCTTGCAAAACAATTTATCAATTTACTCAAAATAATTAATCAATTATCTTATAAGGAAACAATTATCTTGTTAATTGATAATTATCTTTAATTAGATCAAGAATATAGTCATATATATCATAAAATCGGATTTTTATTGATCTAATATGATAAGGTAATTATCCCAATGCAAAAACAGCAAGAAATCCCGAGATAAGCATTATCTGACGCTCGAACTCGCCGAGTACCACACTGTACTCGTCGAGTTGAGGTCTACTCGCCGAGTACACTGTGGTACTCGCCGAGTTCCTCAGCGATAAAGCCCAAAAAACGATTTTCCAGTTATACAATGCATCAATACAATTGAAACCAAGCTAGGCTCTGATACCACTGATGGGTTTTGGTCATAAGATATCCTATGTGCTCATACAAACCCTAATGCTTGGATCTAGGTTTCTCTATTGTACATGCTTTGAATCCAAGACTATAAACCCTAATATTAGCATATGGAAATCGATATCAACATATAATAAGGTTTAAGAACATACCTTGATTGTTATGTAGCAATAACAATCCTAATTCCACCTTGAATTGACTTTGGAATGCTTAGAGTCACAAGTGTCACTCCTCTAATGGCTTACAAACACCAAGAGCAAATGGAGAAGGTATAAAGAGAGAGGTGAGAGGTTAGAATTCGTATCTAGGACCTCTTGGGAAGGGATACACGAATTCATGACCCTAGGGGTGTTTATATAGGTATAGAGATAGGGTTTCAGTCATTATCCTTATCTAGTTGATTATCCATTAAGCAACCAATAAGATAATCCTTGAATCCTTATCATACTCGAATTGTAAGGCTTTCCAACCTTAAATTCGTCCACCATATAAATAAGATAATCCTTACCTTATTTTGTAACTATCACATAATTACAAATCAGCCCCTCTAGTTTAATTAATTACATTTGATCACAAAACTAATTCTTAATTAATTATTGACCAATATTAATTAAACAAATATGATTTCTCCTTTAATATATTATGCTTATAACATATTAATAAATCATATTATCCTCTCTCTCTTTATTTATTTCTCCAATCAAGTTGCTTTGGTGAAGGCAACCCAAAAGGACCATGCACCATCGGGTCAAGTACATACCAAAATAGTTATGGACTTAGACACTAATCCAACAGTTTATGCCCAAGTCAATTACAGAATTGTATTCCTTAGTATCATGTGGACACAACAGATGCTGAAAAAATTGAATAATTTATCTTTTGCTGCAACTGGATCATACAAAGCTAGACACACTTTTATATGTTTCAAACATAAACTTATTGTGTAATGAGGATCCAAATGGAATAATTCAGCCACCCCATACTCCTTTGTTCTATCTCGCCTCTATAATTTATTTCACCGTTCAAGAGAAGGGTATAAGGGGTTTCATAGACATTATGAATTAATTTATCCTTTATTCTACTTCCCTTATTTGAATTAAACAATCTCATCATAAAACGTTCAACATTTCAACATATTATACGACCTAATGCACTAAAATTCAAGTGATGTAAAACAATAAAAGTTGCTTTGAAAGTTCATAAATAAAAAAAATTACCTTTTCAAATTCTGCATAAACTTGTGCAGGAGCTATGGTCATCAAAGTTGATAAAGCAAGTACTGCAGCTTCTTGTTCCAAATGACTAGTACTCATCAACCCCATTGGTCCAGGCAAACCCTACATATTATACCACAACCAAGGGTTAATAATAATTAATAATATATAAAAGATAAGATAAAAAGTAATCAATAAAAAAATATCAACACTCGGAATCAATGATTCCACAGGTAAAAAAAACTTACATTGGAATCAGAACGCTGCAAAGGGCTTCTGGAATCAGCTTCTAGAAGGTGACCTACTCCTACGTGGAGGATACCTGCTTCTGTGTAATCCATCAGTTTATTGACACATCACATGATAAGGGCATTCTAGTCTTTTCAACACTAGTACTTCTATGTAAGTAACAAACACATATAGAATAGTGAATAGTCCATCAGGGCATTCTAGTCTTTTCAACTCATTGGGGACCCACAGTGGTGCCTTGAATTTGTATGAAGCAAGACCAAATGCTGGTAATGAGACCACACCCGTCCCACTGAAATGCCTTACAACAGGTGGATGCTCACATTCATTGCCTGAAACAAAAATAACAAACAATAATAATAAATTAGTAATGCAACTCGTAAATTTTATAACTATAAAAAAAGGTTGTTTCTCAGCCTGAAAAATCCAGGGAGATTTATATGATATATATGAATGACCTGTAGTAGGAGTGTGAAGGGGATGAAAAGTTAGAAAAAAAGCATCAAGATCTTTCAAGGTGGGCCCCATGGTAATTCTGTATATTGGGTACCTGATAAAAAGCATCAAAAAAGGGCCATTTAGTAGTAGCATATTATGTGAGAAAGAGCAAGTAGCAAAGACCATATTAAGAATCTGTTTGATTGGATGGAATGGAATGGAATCACAAAGGAATGGAATGAGTTGTGATCATATTTGGTTGGTCTGTAGCAATGGAATGAACCATTCCATTCCTTCCCAAACTCTAGTACTTATTAGCAATCATACCAAGCGACAGAAAGCCAACTAGATGGCAGCAAGTCACAACTTCTTAGACTTTTCAATTCAGGGAAACGTTGTGCAAGATCAAGTATCTGTTGCAACAAGAAGACAGAACTAAACTAATTATCCAAAGATTTATAAATAAAGAATAAAACCCACTTTATTTGTTTTTTTTAAAGCTAACCTTATCACACAAAGGTTCTCTGCCCAAAGGCTGACTATGTTCCATGTACTCAAATATCAAGCAACTTTGAGTGGTGGCAGAATCACTATCATCACTAGAAAAGTCTTCTTGAACTAAATTGTTCTCATCATTCATTGACAAATGATCTATTCGGTGAAGAATGCCATTCTTTGGGTGATGATTATTACTCTTCTCCCTTAGATAATGTAAAGAACCCTTTTCCTGTTCATAATCACTGCTCCCCTCACTACTTGAATCCGTAAATGAGTTATCATCAATATCCTCAGTTAGTTGCCTGTAAAGCAACATAATAACTAGATTACTTAAATTTCATAAAGAAGCGTAATAGATGCTACTAGTTGAAAAGGAGCCTGACATAACCTTAAACAAGAAAGAGGAAGAAAGGAAGATATTTACTGTTCCAGTACCTGGAATTTATTGAAGACTTCAAAGGGTATACATATATTTGAATTCCAGATAAATAAGGCACATAATATTGGATCACACAATTAGCTTCATTCAATATTAAAGGAACTCCAGCACCATAAGCACTCCACTCCTTGAAAGATTCCCACAAATCACCAAGAACAAAGTATGGTTGATATTCCACATCACTTGTCCTCCATCCTCTCATAGTTCTCTGCTGCCATAAAGTTCAAGTAAAATCATTATTTGGATCAAATACACAACTACAATACCCCTGTTTATAGATGATTACTGAACATTAACCATTTTATTGTACTCTAATTCTTTTTGGAAGATGGTGTGCTTTAGCAGAAACACATATATTTTGATTGTCAAAATATGGAATCCTTGATTAAACAATAGAAATATAACATCAAAGGCAAACTCTGTTCACTCATAAAAACTGAAAGGCCACCCTCAGGGCTCACTGAATAATAATTCAAGCTGACTTCATTTGCTTTCAAACATGAATTTCGGAGTAGTGCCAATGGAGAAAGAGAAAACCACAGCTAAAATGTAAAGTAAATTATACTACTAAATTATAAATCAAAAATCTGATTAATTGACTATCGCATACTCAAATTGAATAAACCAAATCTTCCTATAAGTTACTTTACTCCATGATATAACGAATTAGCAATACAAGTATAAACTGAGATGACTAATTTGAATTAATTCAACTCATTTCAATATAAAAGATTAATATCGGTACAGACCTTGGAGAGATGTTGAACAGGAACAGAAGGCATAACAGTTTCCAAAAACCGTTCAAGATTACACAACGATGATGTTGTCGGCACCGCCACCACTGAGGATTCCAACGGCTCCGGATTTGATGGCTGCATGAGTTGATTCTCCGGCTCCTCCCTAACAGAAGATGTCGTAGATTGTGTCAGAGTAACGTTACTTTGAGCTCTATGGAGGTTCTCTTGATGCTGACGAATCCTTCTCGCTTTCGCCGGCATGTAAAACCTATCCTCTCCACCACTACTACGTCCATGCTGCAATCCAGCGCCCAACATCTTCACTAAAACCCTAAGTTACAAATCCTTCGATCTCACCAATAAAACCGGTCACGAAAGCTACAATTTATAGACAAATTTAAAAGTCAATGAGTTTGATTTTGATTCATTTTTCTGTTAAAGATAGATTAACAAAAAAAAAGAACAAAACTTTTTGTAAACGAATCGTTAAAACAAGATGAAAATCAGCCGATTAAAGATGGAGTTGACGGATTCAGAAAAACCCTGCAATTTGACAAAATCAAACGAAATCAAACAAAAGCAACGATTGTGTGAGAAATTCAACAAGAGCTGACGAAGAATTAGTCAAATGGGAAGGAGGAAGAGCGGATATCCTTAGACGACGGCTTAGGGTTTGCAGATGGTGGTGTTGGGGTCGTTGGTTACTTTACAGAGAGATATGAAGTCGAGACGAAAAGACGAGATTGACCCATCTGGTAATAAACGGACTCGGGAAGCTGAACAAAATGACCCGAGATTGACCCATCTAGTAACAACGCTATTGATGCCATTCCTTCCATTTTCGACTGTTCATCCTCCACTTCCTCTACTGCTACTTCTTCACCATCTTCTATTTTTCTGTATTTAGACTTGAGAGTATAATTAGGGCTTTTTCTAACAATTTCAACATCGAGTGGGAGATATCGTGATTCCAGTAGGTAGAAGTGAGGGAAGAAGTAGGCAGCAGTCAATGTCGGGAGGGGGAAGGAAGGGGCGTCCATAATTTGGGCAAGAGGGAAAGGAGAAAAAATAGGAAGGCGGGATTTTTAATTTTTTCAGAATTTCATTTCCCCCTACTGTTAAAGGATGGAACGCGCATTCCATTAAAAATTATAAAGCGACATCCTTAGACGACGCGCATTTTATTATAGGTGCCCTCCGTGTTTTTTTTAGACACTAATTTAAGGGCGCGCAATAATGCGTGTCTTCTATCCTTAAATTTTTTGAAGAGATGACATTTTTCTAATGTCACTCTCCTTTGCGTAACATAGATCAATGAGCGTCGTATTTTGCGTGTCGTAAAAGGCCTTTTTTCTAGTAGTGAGTGCATTTAAATCAACTTATGGTGGATTCATAGATAACATCTAAAGACAAACACAAAACATTAGTACTTAGATATGATTATATACAAACATAAAACATCTAAAAACAAACATAATAAATCTAAAAATAAGCATAAAACAAGTTTTTAAGACTAACCATATCAACTAAACCACCTTCAAAATGTTCAATAATTTCATGTTGATAAGCGATGTGGTTTTCCTCAAACTAAAATAACAAACAAATTGTTATAATATTACCAAATAAAACTAAATTAACAAAAAATAAGAGTGAATCGGTCGACTACTTGTGGACGATAAACTGAAGTCGCCGTGATTTTATCAACATGTATATATAGTGAGCTGCGATTCGAACCCATTCCCGTGCCACTATTTGATTTTCTAGGTGTCGTGCTCACAAGCTACAATATTTTGTAATATTTAAATTAACATATACTAAAATATATAGTTATATTTAAATATAAATATACCCTTATTGCATATCTTGGCCACTAAACGAGGGTATGCATAAGATGTTTAACATATTCAACTTCTTCCGTTCGTGTGACAGCATGCACAAATAAGTTCTCATATATTTCGACAATTTCATCAACCTGTACTTTCACACAACCTTTACTTCTTGGTTATGAATGTATGGTCGTTTCAGATGTTGGCCATGCAATACCATTAGCTACTTTCAACTCGGTATCAACCACATTCACTGCAAATCACATTTTTTCCTAACCTTCGAATCATAAAGCATTTTTGTAAATATAATATAAAAACATAACTTATAATATACACATATATATCTTTTTTATGTGGAAACTATAAATATATTACCTGAATAGGTGGGTATTTTGTCAACCGTCCACAAAGTGTACCACTAGATTCATGGAATGTTGGGATCATGTCAACCTATTGTCTCGTGCTTCGACTATGATATTGGATATTGTCCGTGATCGCCCCCCGTGCTCGCGTCCAAAAAGTCTAACTAATAGGCTTTCCTTATTTTGAAAATAACTCACATCGGCTATCATTCTTTTCTCTTCTTGTTCCTATGAAAAAAATACTTGGTAAGACATATTTACTAAAAAATCAAAATCTTCATAAAGTGAAAAAATAATTGTTTACCAAAAAATGAAAATCTTGAATTGTCCCTTGGGGAAGCTCGTACGTATTGGTTTCATTGTTTATAAATGCGAAAGCCATTAAATACAGCATACACCGTTCAATTTGTATACGACCTAGAAACTCGTATTTGGATACAAGTTGAGGCCATATAATGTCTTTTTTTTTCAAGACCCTTCCATCCACTTCATCCAAAACGCATAATGAATAACCTTTTGGCATTGCTTTCTTTAGCTTTTGCACTTCTTGCCTTCACACATATCAACAAAATATTATTAATTATCTGTAATAACAACAACAACAACAACAACAACAACAATAATAATAATAATAATAATAATAATAATAATAATAACAACAATAATAATAAGCAATTAAAACATACCAAAAACTCGGATGTAGTTTTTTGTGCAACGAATCTTTCCCATATATCAAGTTTTATAAAATTATATTTAAGATAAACATCCAAACCATGGTTCACAAAATTTGAAACAAGGAATGATTAAAAGATTGATGCAAGTTTCATAGCTTTTCTTTTCATACATTTTTTCTGATCATCAGACTCAATGTTCCATTGTTTCTACAATTTCAAAACAAAAGAGGTTAAACATAATAATTAATTAACAAGTTATTTATATTTGTAATAAATTAAAATATAAATACCTTGGTTTCCAACCATATATTTTTAAAATACGTTCATTCAAGTTTATGCGACTCTATATCTATTGGAAAACTGCGTCGAACCTTCATGCCATACCAAGAATTAAATTGTGTTAGCATGCTATAGTTTGGGATATTTTTTTTTATCAAACTTCAATTGATACTTTTCTGGAGAAATCTTTGACTTAATTGCAGCAATATCATGTTCACCTCTTTTTCGTGTTCGTACATCTTCCATTTTAATAAGCCTAACAACATTGAACAAATTAACAACAATTTTATCTATGGATAACAGAAGACAAACATGACATCAGGACAAAAACCATAATTCAATACAATAGTATATTCCATTAATACAAAACAAGAATCCAATAAAATGCAATGAAAAGGATCGATCCAATATATTGGTAGACCCCATATTTGTGGGGCCAAGTATTACATTTATTAAACAGGATATATTCTAAAGATTCTCAACCATAATGTAAAGTAATAACACTTTTTCACAACAATAAATCAATACTGTAAGTTTCTAAAACTATACGAAATGAAGATTCTAAAGACATTCACGCTCAATTCTAAAAGATTCGAAACACCTTTTGTGACACTTCGTTATTTTTCTTCTTGTAACGTCAACCCTAGTCAATCAAAGTCAAACTTGGGTCAACTAAAGTCAACTTAGATCTTATTCTATCTTAAATGGGTTAGATTAATATTTTATAAATGTTTACACCTTGTATTCAAGGTTTTATATTCTTAAAGAAATAAAACAAGCTGAACCGAGAACCCATGCGAGGCCAAAACTTCGGACCGTGAAAAAGGCTTCGACCATGAACACCTCGGACCGTGAACTTCCCACAGTCGTGATCTCGCTTTGGAGCCGTAAACTATGAGGCAGTTTCTAGAAGGCTTATCACCTCGGGCCATGTTCATGACCGTGAACACTTCGGGCCCCACATTTTTCCCTATATAGATATGTTTAAGACATTATTTCCACTAATAAGGTATACACATGGACGAAGGGAAAAAGGTATATATTTATGGTTTAATGATCCTAACGGCCCCAAGTGAATTTGGATCCTCGCTATGCACTTTAAGTGGACTACGACCCCAAGTGAACTTGGATCCTCATTATGCACTTTAAGTGGACTCTCACTATCAGGATAGGGATCTAATTAGTCCTAACGACTTCGCTGTCTAGGATTTCTACGGATTCTTCCATGAAGTTGAGGTTCTCGCTTACTTTGATCTAATCGAGCGGGATAATAAAAGTCTCATCAGATAAACACTTTTCAAGTTAAAGACATGAAAGGTAAACTATATGTTATTGAATTCTCGAGTTAATCGGGGTCTATAAGCTACTGGACCAAAAATCTAGTAAGAAACTCAAATGGTATTATGTACCTTGGATTTAGTGTTCCACGCCTTCTGAAGCGTATCATTCCCTTCCAGGGTGGGACCTTCACAAGACAAGGTCACCAACCTGGATATCCAAGGGTGTTCTCTTATCGAAGATGTAGGTTTTCTGTCCGACCTTGGGAGCTTCACGTCGCTCCAAGATTTGTACTCTCTTCTTGGTAGTTTTTCGTATGATTTCCGAACCAGCGAAAGGTGTTGTCTGGAAATTGGGTCTCTAGCTAGTTGTGTGTCACCTACTTTAGTCCAGTGTATAGAGGATTTGCACTTGCGACCATAGAAGGTTTCGAATGGAGCAATTCTAAATGTTAGCATGGTAAAGGACTCAACTAGTTGGTAAATGGGTATCCCATGCTTTATCAAAGTCGATCACAGATGCTATCAGCATGAATTCAATTTCTTGAATCGTTCTCTCATTCTGTCTGTTGGTTTAAGGTTGGTAGGCTATGCATCATGACTAGCCTAGTTCCCAAAGATTTCAGAAGTGACTACCTAATCTAGGAGATGATTTTGCTATCTCTAATAGAGATAATAGATATTGGAACACCGTGCAGTCTAACTAATCTCGCGGACACGTGTTCTAGTTAACTTCTTAAACTTGACCTGCAGTACATGTGGTCTTCCTCGAAGATCTATTCGGTATACTTTGGGTGGTTATTGACTTCTGAGTCTTCTTTGGTGTTTTTTTCTTCAAGGTTATTGACTACTGGGTAGGCTAGAAAGGCGTGGTACCCTTTGCATGGGTACTTCTGAAGT